CTCTTGGGCCGGCTTGGGGGCATCTTGGGGGCCTCTTGGGCCCTCTTGGGACGATGTTGGAGGTTTTTTGCGTAGTCTCGCCGTGTCGGAAGCCCGAAAACGCGAACAGCCAAAAAACAGCGAAAAACACAATGAAAATCGACTATGTTGGCCTCCTGGGGCCTTCTTGGAGGTTCTCTTGGAGCGCTCTTGGGGCCTCTTGGGGGCCTCTTGGGCCATCACGGGGCCATCTTCGGCGGCTTGGTGCGCTCTCGGGCTGTCTTGGCGGCCTCTGGGCGCCCTGTGCGGGCGCCAACGGGGGCTTCCGAGGCGCAGGGAGCGCCCTGGAGCGTTCAAATAGGCTCGCCGGCGCCGGAGACTAAAGTCGGGCGCGGGGGGGTTGGGGGAATTTGGGAAAAGTGGGCTGCCCCTGGGCCCGGGGACCTGGACGCCCAGTATATTATATAAGAGACAGAGACATGCCGTACCCAAGTAGTCTCAGATTCACCCCTTACCCTCCTCCCAAAACGCCCCCCCGAAGCCCCCAGCCGCTCAGATGCCCCCCATCGAATCTCGATCCTCGCCCTCGATCCTGAAGAGGAGCCGGTGGCCTCTCAACTGCGTCCAAGGGCGTAGAAGTGATTAGCCTAGGCATTGCCCGACCCTCATCGCATGAGCGCCGAAGAGGGGGGGCAGGAAGAAAAGGAGGAGGATGGGGAGGAGGAGGGGGGCGAGGTGGAGGGAAGGGGGGGGAGGGGAGAAGAAGAAGAAGGAGGAGGAGGAGGAAGAGTAGGAAGATGGGGGGCGATGGAAGAGGAGGAGGAGGAGGAGGATGAGGAGGACGAGGAGGAGGAGGACGAGGAGGACGAGGAGGAGGAGGAGGAGGAGGAGGAGGAGGAGGAGGAGGAGGAGGAGGAGGAGGGGGGGGAGGGAGGAGGACAGGACAGGACATCCGCATGAGGGGGTCAACGTCGCTGCGCCGGCTAAGGTGCAATGTACAGCGTATGCGTAATTCCCCCGCGTGAGTGTTATGCAGTAAGGACTCGACAGCCCTTCGACATCTTACCGAAGGAACTTCCAAGGCCTGCGCAGAGGCGCGCGCGCTGCCCTCCTCGCCCCAAACCCTCACCTCCCCCCCTCCTCAACCACAGGCGAACGTGCGGCCCGCTCGCAGGGGGCCCTGTATTACCAGTCAGTAGCTCCCCGATGAAACCAAAGGGCGCTGCGCCGCTGGCACTGCGTTGCCGCTGGCGCGCGCGAGCGGGCCTGCGCTAGAAGGAGGGTTCCCTGAGCCCTCTGTAATTCGCGAGCCAAATTTCTCTCTGCATCCTACGGAGAAGAGGACCGAGGAAGAGAAGAGAGGGGGGCACCATGCACTCCGAGATGCCCTCGCTAGTACGATCGGCGTTACTTGCGCTAAGACAGATGCTTTCCACCGCGCCAAACGCGTTCATGCGTGCGCGCCCCCTGCTCCTGTTTGCGTCGCCTTGCGCCGGCTCGCCTGTCGCTTCGCCTTGTCGTCTCCTGCAGGGTCGCGCTCGGTAGCTCAGAAAATCTGGAAAATCTGGAAAACATGCGGCGCGTGCTGAACATTCGCACGACATCTCCGCCCAAAGAAAGAAGTGACTGCGCGCGTGTATTTGTCTCCAACATAGGTGTGCAAGTTGGCCTGCGCTTTAATCTTCACGCGGCGGCAGATGCGAACCTGTCTCCCGACCTGGCAAAAACTCCGATGCTTCCCCTTTCCGAAAGAGCGCATTCCACTTCTGGCAAAGCACGGACTGCCTCGCTGTTGGCCACTTGGTGCCGCAATTCATCCGCACATTGTCATGGGCGCCGTCCACAATTCGCCCGCTGCGCTTCCGCGTCCGCTCTTCGATGACAAACTCTTCAACGGCTGCGTCTTTAACCGCGCAGAGGTCAGAGGGGGCCCCCCGCTGGGAAATATTGCCGGTCTCTTTGCCTCAGTTTCCTACTCCTTATCCACCTCCTCCCGCCTGCGCAATCCCTTGGCGAAGCAAGAGTTCTAGCACTTCAACAAATTCTCCAATGGACATCCCCCCTTCCGCGCACAGCGTCTGCAAGACGCCCTTAGTGATTCCTTCGTGGGTCTCTGTAAAACTGGAGAATCCCAGAAGCGCTGCGATCTCAGGGTCATCATTGAGGAGCATGGGTTTTCAAAGTTCGTCATCGGCACCAGTCGGTTGCCTCTGAACCTCGGGGCCTCCATCTTCCCAGACCTCCTTCGCCCTCCAGCGAACAAACGAGTTGATCTTCTGGGGCACTATTTCCCAATAAATGGTTTGGCCTCCATATTTCCAGGCCTCCTTCTCGCCCGTCTCACCGCCAGAGTCACTGGCGAGGTTCATCCAACTTAGACCTCCAGCGAACAAGCGAGTGCAAAGCAGGGCCGATCCGGTTTCGTTGATTCAGTTGTGCTTCGATCTCCTGGGACAATTTTTTCACCTACCTTGGTTCGGGCATGGGTTCTCGAAGTTCTTCATCGGCGCCCACAGGCTGCCTCCGGACCTCGGGGCCTCCAACTTCCCTTGGACTTTTGTCGTCCGAATTTGCTCGCCGGCGCACAAACGAGCGCGAGGCAGGGCCAGTCGAATTCCATATGCGCAGTTGTTCTTCTATCTCGTGGAACAGGCGCGTCAAACGATAGGATTCGCTTGTAGTAGTATGAACGGCAGGCTGCTCCTGGGCCCGAGCGGGCGCAGGTGCAGGAGGGGGGCCGAGGCGGCTCTGCAAACTCCCCCGGGGGCTTTTCCCCCTGGGCCCCGCGGGGCGCAGGGGGAAGGGGGAGCCGAGCAAGCTCTGCAAACTCCCCCGCTGATGTTTGCCCGCCCCTCTCGCCGTCGCTGTTGTCCACCTCGATGTCGGCGCCCATCTGCGCGCCCTGTGGCGGCGGCTCCTGCGCTCTCTCTTTTTTGTTTTTTCTCTCTGTCTCTCTCTCTCTCTCTCTCTCTTTCTCTATTTCTGCCGAAGTTGTCCAACAAGCAGAAGGTCCCGGGGCGTGTGCAACCAACTGTTCACACAATGTACTCCTGGCAAACTGGCATTTCCGGGGATGAGTGCGGCGGATCCGTTCTCTGCGTCTTTGGCTCGTCGTTTTTTCTTCAAGGTCTCACTCCAATCTTCTATCGAAAATTGGCAAGATGCGGCACAAGAGATGCCCATTACCCGATCACGACCCAGTCACCCTAGAAAGGGTCGCAAAAAAGTACGGTATCGGAAGAGCTGCAAGGATGGAAATGTTTTATTGATCCTCCTTCTCTCCCCCTGGCCACGGCAGAACAACCTACATGGCTGCCAGAGTCCGCAAGTCGTATGAGGGGTGAATGCAAGTCTTCCCTCCATCGGGGCTCCATTTGCCTGAGTTCCAACGCCGACTAAGAGGAGGAGGAGGAGGAGGAGGAGGAGGAGGAGGAGGAGGAGGAGGAGGAGGAGGAGGAGGAGCAGGAGGAGGAGGAGGAGGAGCAGGAGGAGGAGGAGGGGGACACATCATGCCTCCGGCCAAGGAAAGAGGCCAGGGGGCCGTCGCTCGAGGCAATGGCTCCCCGCAAAACCCCCAGAAGACCCCGGAGAACGAAACCCTGAGCCCAAAGACACCCAAGAACACCTCAAGACTTCCTCCATCATCGCCCTTTGGCGGCGCGCACAAGGGGGAGGGAGGGGGGAGGGCTTCTTAGAAGGAGGCTGCTTCTTAGAAGGCGCCGGCCTTACATCTATAGATGTAAGGCCCGCGCCTTCTAAGAAGCAGGGATGTTTCTCAGAAACCCTCCCCCCTTCCCCCACCCCCCTCTGCGCGTGGCTGAGCCCTTCCCTCTCCCCGACCCTCAACTCCCAAGTGGCCCGGCCCCCTCTCCTCGTCTGCCTCGGGCGTTGCAAAACGAGAGGCCGATGAAGCGGGAAGGGTGGAGAAGGGTGCACCTTTCGTGCACCCTCGGGGGCCCCATGGGGGGGCCCCGTGGGACCGCTCTCCTGCAAGTCTCGATCCCCTCCCCCTCGCTCGCAGGCATCCTCCCGAGGGCTGCAGGGGAAGGTGCCCGAGGGGGCCTCCTTCCTGCAGCCCTCGATCCCCCACCCCGTTTCGCCGTCAGGCCAGGGCACGTTCAAAGTCCCTGCTGTCGCGGCCCATCGGTACAGCCTGGGCGCCCTGCGGCGCCTCCAGGCGGCCGCCGAGTGTGGCCCGTCCGCCCCTGCTGTCGGTCCCTCTCCCCGTTGGGGGAGGTGGAAGGGCAGCTGCAGTGCTGGACAGGTCCGCTTGGGTCCAACGACGCTTCAGTGTTGGGGCCATTCTCGGCGACCCACGAGGTGTACAGCCGGTGACGTTACGGAGGCGGGTTTCGGCCCGCGGCTCTCGGCATCCGATCTCTCGGTAGCAGCGCCCTCCGCCGCGGGCACATTGTCGCCGTGCTTGGCGGAGTTCAGGCGCTGGGCAACGCTGCGTGTCTTCTCACGCCATTTTGGCGCGGGGTGTAGGGCGGTCCCTGGTTGTTCGCTTCTTTTGCTTGTTTTCCTCTCCAAGGCACAGCGTTGCTGGCGTCATTGGGAGTCAGCCAGGGAAGAGGAAGCCGGAGGTCAGGTCCCAGCTTGCGCCTGTGTTACTCCTTCTGGCACGTGTGCCTTCTGCTGGCGAGTTGGTCAGGGCAAGACTGGGTTCCCAGCTTCTGGCTTGCCGTGTGCGGCCCAAGGGGGCCACTCTGCTGGGCAAAGGCTCGAGTCCTTTGCTTCCCCGCCCGCGCGCGTGGAGCGCTGCGCTCTGTTCTGCCGTGCCTGCGACAACCCACCCCGCTTCATCGCCCCCCCCCTTACGAAACGCCCGACTCCCTCGAGCCCCCCCCCAAAAAAAACGCCTGGATCCTCCGATCGCCCCCACTTATCGCCCCCCAACGGTTACGAAACGCCCGACTCCTTCCAGCCCCGACGACGACGATGACGACGACGACGACGACGGCGACGACGACGACGACGATGACGACGGCGACGACGACAGCGACGACGGGGGCGCGCTCCTCCGGCACGCCCTCCGGCTCCTGAAGCGTGCACTTCACCACCTGCCGCGGGGCGCCTCCCGCAGGCATCTGGCCTCCGGGTCAGGCAGGGCATGGCGGCGGCGGCGGAGGTGGCACCGTCGTCGTCGTCGTCGTCGGCGTCGTCGCCAGGATAATGTTTGGGGGCAACTCGCGGAACTCCCTGACACCTGACAACGACCCTGCGCGTGGCTCCGTCCTCCAGCCTGGCGGCGCAGAGCTTCGGATGCCGACGGGGACTCGCAAACGAGGACATCCCCAGCAAATGTGGGGCAACACGGCGATGAATCATCGCATGAAGGTCGCTGGCGCCCGCAACGGCCTGGCCGAAAATTTCCGGCCAGACGCTGGTGCAGGAACGGCGTGAGAGTCAGCTGTCAGATCGTGGCGCGGTTGACCCATCGTGTCCTAGCCCCCTCCTCCTCCTCCTCCTCCTCCTCCTCCTCCTCCTCTTCCGCCTCCTCCTCCTCCTCCTCCTCCTCCTCCTCCTCCTCCTCCTCCTCTGGACGCTCTGAATCAGACCTGCTTCGCCGAGCAGAATGCCGAAGGGCCCCTTGCAGGCACAATCAGATTGTTTCACCCTGCTCGCGCGCCGTCTGGAGAATGGCTTCTGACCTGACCTGACCTTGAGAATTTTTTGTAGACGCTCTATGGCCTCACCCTGGGACGCCATAGAGCTGGTTCACCCGAGAAGTTGCAGGTCACAGAGTGCTTCCAAAAGCCATGAATGCCTTATGGGGTCGCCTTGTACCAACGATCTGAAAGTGTTGTGGGCGTAATCTCATGACCTATTGGAAACGAAGTGGTGATAAGGAAAGATAGATGGGAACGAGTGTGTAGGAAGGAGGAACATGAACGTTCAGGAATAGAACTTGCGATGATGCGGAGGGTGGAAAGAAAGGAATGATGAGGAGGGAAGGGTGAAGACAAGCTAGGTGCGATAGCGTCACATCTGACGTCCTACCCCTCGCTCCCATCCCCCACCATGGCGTAGATCTCCTATCTATTCGCACATTCGAACATGGACAGGCGCTGCGGCACGATTTCGAAGGGCTGGAGCGCGGGTACGAGGCCAGAATCGAAAACGAGAATGAGGCGAGCGGGGACACAACCTGACAGGACCACAGCACTGGAACGAGGCTAGCGCTACAGCGACAGCGCTACTTGGAAGGACCGAACACGCCAGTACTGCGGCGGGAACACGATTTGGAACAACCGGAGGCGCAGGAACGAAGCCAGCGCTGGAGCGGGAGCACGATTTTGAGGGCGGAAATGACGGCGGCGCTGCGCGGGAGCACCATTGTGGAAGAACCGGAAACGACCGGATTGGAACGAAACGCATAGAAAAAACAAATAATGACACCCTGCGAGTTTTAAAAAAAGATACGGGGCACTCTCTGGACGGTGTACTTGTGGAGAAAGATGATGAGGGACAGGACTAAAGATTATCGGAAAAGCGTACGGCGAGTCACCGCCGCCGCCTGCCTTCGAGAGGTGCATGTGTGGCCCGTTGGTGAGCAAACGCGTCGCACGAGTGGTCGATAATCAATGGAAACCTCTTGAATTCTGGAGGCCATCTTAGGCCGTCTTGGGGCCGTCTCGGGCCCTCTTTGGCCCTCTTGGGGGCCTCCTGAGTCTCTCTGGTGTCGTCTTGGGGCCCTCTCGGGCTGTCTTTGGGCCGTCTTGGGCCCCTCGAGGCCGTCTGGGAAGTCTCTTGGGGTCGTCCTAATAATGGGCAGTCCAGCAGCCCTCTGGGGCCGTTTTCGGCCCCTTTCGGCAAGCTTTAAAGCTGGCTGGGGGCACTCGTGGGTCCCTCTTGGTTCGTTCCGCCAGCAAGCAAGACACCACCCGAATCGCGTTTGCCCCGGAATCGGTGCGCCACGGAGGGAAACGGCAAGTAAGAAGCTAAGTAGTCATAGGAGGAGGAGGAGGAGGAGGAGGAGGAGGAGGAGGAGGAGGAGAAAGAAGAGCAAAAGCGGCGCAGCATCCGGCCCCAAAAGGCGAGCGAGGAAGACGAATGCAGAATAAGACTGAAGTTGTCAGGCGAAGGCTGCGCTTGCCATGGAGGACGTAGAGCGACCACGACCAATAGAGTCCACATGCGCCGAGTCGAGCTCCGTGCGCCTCGCACGTGTCACAGGTGGGGTACTCAAAACGACGACGGCGACAATCATTTTAGGACTGTGAATTCCTATCCGCTCGCGTGCTCTGCAACACGTAGATCCCAAGCCCTCTGTATCCACCCTCTTCGTCTTTGATCGTACCACCTTGGGGGCATATATTCCTTAACTGCCATGTGTTTTTAGCGCAGCCCCTAAAGCCTGGGAAGAGAGAACAGGTGGAAAGGGGCGTGTTGCTGAAGCATGAGGTCTGCATTAATCGCGAGGTCCCAAGCGATAGCGAGATTCCCAAGTAAATCGTGAGAAAGGCTAGAGCGAGAGCGTGATTCATGAGTATCGAGGGCCGAGGGCACGCTGCTCGTGCCATTCAACATGTATACCCCAAACTCTCATACCCCAAACCCTCGATACCCGCCCTCTCTGTCTCCGGGCATTCCCGTCCTTACCTGCCAATTGGCGCAGCCCGTAGAACCTAGACCGGCAAAGGGAGGGAGGAGAAAACGGACAAGGGGGAGGGAGCAGGATGAAGCACGAGGACGAGAGAGACTAGCAGGAGGCGGATTAAGATCAGGGAGAGAGCGTGATCCACCGCCGCTTTACTGTGGAAAATTGCCAGCCTTTTCCTCCGGAGCCCGGGGGTCGCCCCTCCCCCCCCCTCCGAAAATCCCCCCCCTGCTGGACCCCCCCCCCCTCCCCGGCAAAACCCCCCCCCCCCTCCCCTAACCCATCCCCCCCCCCCCTCCGGATCTGAAAACCGGGGGGGTCACTACCGGTTCGAACCCCCCCCCCCCTCGAAAACCGGAGGGGGGTCACTACCGGTTCGACCCCTCCCCCCACTCACCGCCAGCAAACGACTCCCGGTCCCTACCACCGTCCGCATCACATCCCCCACTGTTGTTCCCAGCACCACTGTCCTCACCACCACTGTCCCCACTGGTTCCACCACCGTCCCTACTGTCCCCACCAGTGCCCCCACCACTGTCGCACTGTTCTCCACGGACCCAACCACTGCCCGACTATCCCCACTGTCCCACTGACTCCTCCGCTGTCCCACTGAGCTGTCCCACTGTTCCCACCACTGTCCCCACTGTCCCCACTGTACTGTACTCTGTCCCATTGTCCCACCGCCGTCCTCGCCACCGCCTTCACCACTGTCCCCACCACCCTCCACTTGTACCCTTCCACTGTCCCCACACTGTCCCCACCACCACCGTCCCCACCACTGTCCACTGTCCCCCCCTGTTCCCACCATTGTCCCCACCACTGTCCCCACCACTACCGTCCCCACCACTGTCCCACTGTCCCACTGTCCCCACCACTGTCCCGCTGTCCCCTCACCACTGTCCCCACCAACACCGTCCCCACCACTGTCCGCACCCCCACTCGGTTTTCGAGGGGGGGGGGGGGTTCGAACCGGTAGTGACCCCCCCGGTTTTCGAGGGGGGGGGGGGGGGGTTCGAACCGGTAGTGACCCCCCCCCCTTTTCATGATGAACTGGGAGGGGGGGGGGGGGCAAAGGTTCGAACCGGTAGTGACCCCCCCCGGTTTTCCGGAGGGGGGGGGGGGGGACAGGGGTTCGAACCGGTAGTGACCCCCCCCGGTTTTCCGCCAGCAGCGGTAGAACACGCTCTTTCAGATCAGGAAAACAAGCGGCAGAGCCACACGGGCGGGTCGGGCAGGCGAACAGGAACGGGCGGGTCGGGCGGGCGGGCCCAGACGACCGGGTCGAACGCGCGGGTCGCTGAAGCGTCAGCCCTGCGTCAATCGCGAGGCAGCCTGTAACGATAGCACGATTCCCAAGCAAATCCTGAGGAAGTGACTTCTAAGCTTTGGGGGTCACGGCGTTTCAGTAAATTGCGCGGAAGGTGCGCGCGAGGGCGCGATTTCTGCATACACGGTGAGGGAAAGTCAGGCGGGAACCGTTGTTGTTGTTGTTGCTGTGGTTCCCGGGCCAGGGGGTCAGTCTGAGGCTCAAGACTTCCCCTCGTAAACAACCGCTCGCCCCTTGGGGTTCATCGGCGTAGAAAACGTTCCCCCCTCCCCAAACCCCTCCCCTGGGAGCCTGGTCGGGTCGATTTGGAGAAGGGGGTCCCCCGGCGCCCGGTCGAACGCGCCACGGGGGGACAGCCCCAAAATGAGCTAAGAGGGCCTTAAGAGGCCCCCCGGACGGTCCAAGAGGGCCACGAGTCGCCGAAAGTTTGATCCAAAACGCCCACGCTGGCCTCCAGACGGCCCAAGAGGCCCCCAAGACGCCCCAAGAAGCCCCCAAGAGGCGCCCCAAGAGGTTCTCCAGAAGCAAACATCTTCCCACTCCTTTTGGGAAGCATGAATTGTTAGCACATTCGCCTCGTGGGCTTTCACCACGTCCAAGACGGGCCAAGAGGCCTCCAAGATCGCCCCAGGATGGGTCAAGAGGCTCCTAGAGGGCTCCAAGACGACCCAAGAGGGCCCCAAGACGGCCCCAAAAGCCTCAAAGGCAGCCCAGGAGGAGGGCAGCCCCAAGAGGGGGCCCAGAGGGGGAGCCCGAACGGACACGTCGAACCTTCGACCCCAAGACGCCTCTGGGTTGCCCCAAGAATCCCCCGACAGGCCCCCAGGGAGCCCCAAGAGTGCCGCAAAAAGACCAAAGAGGCCCCCAGGAGGCCCCCAGGAAGCCCCCAAGAGGTTCAAACATTGCCTCCAAGACGCCCCCGAAACGCCTCCCACGATACCCCATCAGCCATCCGAGTGACCTCAGACCCGCAAGCCAGAAACGGTGGCGGGATGTGCCGAAGGCCATTCGATCCGCCGCCCCCTGTCGATTCATCACAGGGGTGCCTGGCGTGCTGAACCCTCTCGGTTTGGGTTTTGGTTCTTTTCCAAAAGAACTCCCCCTGGAGCTCTGGCGCGTCCCGCCGGGGTCCCGGAAGGATTGCCCAGGATCTTCCAGAGCCGGTTGCAACGGGTTTTTCCTGCCCCAGACGGCTCCAAGATGGCCTCCAAGATGCTTCCAAGACGGCCAAGATGGCCTCCAAGACGGCTTAGATGGTCCCAAGATGCCTCCAAGACGGCCCAAGATGTACCCAAGATGGCGTAAGATAGCCTCAAGATGCCTCCAAGACGGCCCAAGAGGCCTCAATACGGCCCAAGAGGCCTCCAAGAGGTGCTCCAGGAAGGCCCGAAGAGGGCAAAATCATAGATTTCCCTTAGGTTTTTGAAAGATTTGGTATTTGCCCCTTTTCGGCTTTCCGACGGCTCAAGACGGCCCAGGGGGCCTCCAAGATCGACTCAAGATCGCCCAAGAGGCCTCCAAAAGTGCTCCATGACGGTCCAAGAGGCCTCCAAGACGGCCCCAAGAGGGCCCCAAGACCGCCCAAGAGGCCTCCAAGACGCCCAAGATGGCCTCCAAGACGGCCCCGAAGCGCCCCAAGAGAACCCCACGTCGGTTCAGAGAGGCCCCCAAGACGGCTCCCGACGGCGTCAAACGGGCCAGGAGCCCACCACGATGGCCGAAGTTGGCTCGAAGCTGGCCCAAGACGGCCCAAGAGGCCTCCAAGAGGGCCTCCAGGAAGGTCAGAAAAGGCCAAAAACACTGATTTTCCATAGGTGGTTAAAGGATTTTGACATTTGCTTCTTTTCGGCCTGCCGACGGCCCGATACGGTCCAAGAGCCCCCAAAGATCGCCCAAAGATCGCCCAAGACGCCTCCAAGATGACCCCAGAACGGCCCAAGAGGCCCCCAAGACGGCCCCAAGAGGCCCCCATTAAGACGCCCAAGATGGCCTCCAAGACGGCACTGGAGCATTCCAAGAGGGCCCCAAGTCGGCTCAGAGAGGCTCCCCAAACGGCTTCCGACGGCGTCGGACGGGCCAGGGGCCCACCAAGACGGCCGAAGATGGCACTAAGATGACCCAAGACGGCCCAAAAGGCCTCCAAGAGGGCCTCCAGGCAGGCCCGAAAACGCCAAAATCATTGATTTCCCATGAGCTTTTGAAGGATTGTGGCATTTGCCTTTTCCCGGAAAGGGCTTAGGCCCAGGGTTCTCCTTTAGTGCGTTTACCCCCGGGTTTGACTTGAGGTGGGCCAGCGAATTTCTTTTGCGATCAAAAATGAGGTCGAGGTGGGCCGGCGAATTAATATGTGAGGATGTCTCGAGCGAAACGCTTGTGTTGCAGAAACTGTTGAGGATGTCTCGAGCGAAACGCTGGTTTTGTGTTATAGATTGTCCTCTCCTGGGCACCTGAATTCAGAGGATCTCTGAAGTGAAATGCTTGTTTTCACGTGCCCAGGTCTTGAGGATGTCTCGAGCGAGACGCTTGGTTTCACGCCTTCAGGTTGCCCAGGCAGAGGTCTAGCGACAGGATTTGTTGAGGATGTCTCGAGCGAGACGATTGGTTTCACGCGTCCTCGTCGCCCAGGCGGATGTCTAGCATGAGGATGTGTTGACGAAGTCTCGATCGAGATGCTTGTTTGCACGTGTCCAGGTTGCCCAGGCGGATGCCTAGCATGAGGATGTGCTGAGAATGTCTTGAGAGATACGCTTGTTTTCACGTGTCCAGGTCGCCCAGGCGGATGTCTAACATGAATATGTGTTGAGGATGCCTCGAGCGAGACGTTTGCTTTCACGTGTACAGGTCGCCCAGGCGGATGTCTAGAATGAGGAGGTGTTGAAAACGTCTCGAGCGAAACGCTTGTTTTCACGTGCCCAGGTCACCCAGGCGGACGTCTCACATGAAGGTGCGTTGAGGATGTCTCGAGCGAACCACTTGTTTTCACGTGTCCAGTTCGCCCAGGCGGATGTCTAGCATGAGAATGTGTTGAGGATGTGTTGAGCGAAACGCTTGTTTTCACGTGTCCAGGTCGCTGAGGCGGATGTCTAGCATGAGGATTATGACAGGATGTCTCGAGCGGAACGCTTGTCCCCAACACGTTCCGCAGCGCGTCCCCTTGGCACGTCCCGCGGTGCGTCTCCATGGCACGTCCCCTGGCACGTCGCTTGGCGCGTCCCTTGAGACGTTCCGCGGCGCGTCCTCCTGGCATGTCCCCCTGTCAGTGAGCTCTGGGGCAGCTACTATGTGCTAAGGCAGCTCGAGCTTAAGATCCAGATCAGTTCGGTCAGGACTCGGATGCAAAGGGGGACTCGATCTACAACGCTATAGAGAACAGTCGCGGCATGTCACATCGCAATTTAGCACGGCGCAGCACAGCACTGACTTCGGCACGGTACATCAAGATCGGTACATTCAGCATTGCAACCTGGCACGCTCCTTGGCACGTTCCGTGGGGCGTCCCTTGTCGAGTCCCCCTGGCACGTCGCGTGGCGCGTCCCCTGGCGCATCCCGTGGCACATCCATTGGCACGCTCCGTGGCGCGTCCCCTTGGCACGTCCCGCGGTGCGACCCCATGGTACGTCCCCTGGCACGTCGCCTGGCGCGTCCCTTGGGACGTTTCGCGGCGCGTGCTCCTGGCATATCCCCCTGTCAATTAGCTCTGGGGCAGCTACTATGTGTTAAGGCAGCTCGAGCTTAAGATCCAGATCAGTTCGGTCAGGACTCGGATGCAAAGGAAGACTCGATCCACAACGCTATAGAGCACAATCGCGGCATGGCACATCGCAATTTAGCACGGCGCAGCGCAGCACAGCCTTTGGCACGGTGCATCAAGATCGATACACTCCGCATTGCATTTGCCCGTCACCCAATCAGGTGTCTTTGAAAACGTTGCCATGCGTTACATTTCTATATTCCTTTCCGAGTTCGTGGGTCGATCATGTTTTCGGCCTTCCGACGGCCCGAGACGGCCCAAGTGCCCCCAAAGATCGCCCAAGAGGCCCAAGACGGCCCCAAGAGGCCTCCAAGACGGCCCAAGAGGCCTCCAAAACGCTCAAGATGGCCTCCAAGACGGCCCTCCCAGAAGGCCAGAAAGGGTCATAATGGCCTCCAGGCGGCCAAGATGACCTTCAAGATGCCCACGTGTTCCCCGAAGGCCTTCCAAACCGGTTCGGGGAACACATGGTCCGATTACTTGGCAGGTCTGGCCTCAACGTTCGGCCACATAGGCGCTTCTTAAAAGGCAGGGGGCGGCGGTGATTCGCCGTAGGCGTCTCCGATAATCATTCTTCGGGTGTTTTGACAGATGCCCGCCGTCTGTATAGTTACGTGGGTTCTCGCCCGTTTCTCCATGCGTGCAAGCCGATTGCTGAAAATGTCAGCCCAGGAGGCCCCCATAAGGCCCCAAAGAGGCCCCCATGAAGCCCCAAAAGCGCTCCAAGAAACCCCCAGAAGGCGCCCAAGAGGCCCTCAGGAGCAACACGCAACAGCCGCCAGTCGCCCAAGGGGTCGGGGGTGTGGCATCAGGGTGCGAGCTCCGGGAAGGGCACTTCAATGGACCCCCTCCGAGAGGGGGGTGCTCTCCCCGTGCCCCGCGCCGCGCCGAGGGTGGGGGGGAGGCCTGCGCGCACGTAGAGGATGCGCAGCGGCAGCTGCAGGGACCGATACCTGGCACCGCGAGCGGAAGCAGGCCCCCTCGGCGCGAGGCGCTGCCGTCCGGCCCGCCCCGCCGAGGGCCTCTGGGCCGGCGCGGCAAGCAGGCGCCGGGCGCGGGCGCAGGCGCCTCCGCGCTGCCCCCCCCTCGCCTCCCCCCGCCCCCCCCCCCCCCCCGACCTCGCGCTCAGCGCCCAGGCGAGGCGAGGCGAGGCCCGCCCGGCGGAGCGGTGGCGCGAGTGCGGCGAAGGTCTCCGAGCACCCCACAGCCCAGCGTGCCGTGTCGCTGCCCTGGCACGTCGCTGCACTGGCACGCCCGGGGCAGGGGTGCCGCCGCAGAGCGCGGGGTCAGCAGGTGCCCGAAGCACTCCTCCTGCGCGCAACCCCCTGGAGCTGGAGCAGCGCAAAGAGGGCACGGGGCAGCGGCGCCCCCTTCGGCCACCCAAACTTCCACTGGAACGCGGCCAGACGCCCGTGCCGCTGCCCAGGCCTGGCGGCAACGGCGCACCGTACGCGCTCCTGGGGCTCACCGTACGCCAGAGGATAGCGGCCCCCGCACCGGGATCAATTCCTGGTAGGCGGCGTTTCCACGGGCACCCTGCAGGCCCCCATTGCATGATGAACCATGCCTGATCGTCCGCCTGGACGGACGGCATCACCACCGAGCGTTTCCACTGCTTGACCACCCGCCTGCTTGCCTCGGGGTCCGCGCGGGCCGCCTTGGAAAGCGCATTGGGAAGTGCATCGCAGCATCGTGCCCCGGCGGCGGTCGCAGCCCTGGCGACCTGCCGGTGCGCCGTGGTGGAGGCGCATTGGCAAACCGCTTGAAAGTCTGCCAGGCCGCCCACTGCCAGACACCATCAACGCGCGTCCCGCTCTTGGGAGGGACCCCTTGCTTGCGGCGGCCTGGGGGTGAACTGGACGAGTTCTGAGAAAATCGGTCAAGAATGGGGATAACGGCAAATCCGCGCAAAATCTGTTCCAAGGCCTCTCCAGGGGTCCGTCTGTGGATTTGTGTCACCCCGGATTCGTTTTTGACGGTCCCGGGGCTCGAAAATTCCCAGGAAATCAAAAAAGACCAAAAACATCCTTGAACCCAGAACCTTGACCCCCCCTGTCTGCTCGATGGAACCAATGCTGGGCCACATCAGACCCCAGCCAGCTCCGAATCCACTGTGCGACGGCAGGCCTGGACGAGAGGAAAACTCTCGTAGGGCGGTGCCAAAGGGGTGGTGCTCGCCAGGTGTTCCGCGAACTTGGCCGATCGGCATCCTAGGCTGCGGTTTCTCGCCCCCGGATCACCCTTCGGTGGTCCCTTCTCCGCCTGCCAGCCCGCGGCGGGTGTCGCGTCGGAGGAGGGGGAGGAGAAGGGAGGGGGAGGGAGGAGGGAGGAAGAGGGAGGAAGCGAAAGGAAGGAGGAAAGAGGGAGGAAGGGAGGGAGGAGTGAGTTGGGGGGGAGGAGGCGGAGGAGGAGGAGGGAGGAGGAAAGGGAAGGAGGAGCACTAGCCAAGGTCATTGGAAGACGTGGAATTCTGGCACTTTCGCTTTTGGGCGGTCGGTAGGATTAACCGGGCGCTGGGCGAGCCGCTCCCTGGGGACACCAAAAGGTACCGATATCGCTACTCCCCGGACCTCTCCCAGGGTGCGTTCTGACCAGAATTTCGAGGCGAATCCAGCGGTGACGACGAGGATCTCCCGGCAGACCCAAAAAGGGGAAAACGAGGCCAGGGTAGCGGTATGGGTACATGTTCCTCTTTTGACTCCCATGTTTCGCGGCGGAGACCCGCCAAGAGGAGCTCACCAGTGGCGGCGCCCGCCGGCGTGGACGTGCCTGTGTGGCCACCGCCCTGCTGGCGTGCGTGGGCATCTCCGAGCTTCGCAGGGCAGCTCTGGTAGCACACCCCAATGCACCACCCCCTTGACGGAGGAAAGCCTTGAAGTGAGGAAGGATGACAGGGCTAGGAGGGAGGATGCAAGAGAGGATGATGGCATTCCGATTCCTTTCCACACAATCTTGCCCACCCAGTGAGGGGGTGGGGGCGGAAATATGCCGTACACAGGTGACCTCCTCCCCGTCCTGTACAAAGGCGCCCCCCCTCCAAGACAGAGCCTCGGGCTTCCTGGTCCTCCTGCAGAGCATTTCCTGTGGTTCTCCAGCCGCCTGCAGGGATTCGAAGACAAACCTAAGCGGTCGCAAGGGCGCCCAAACGGCCCATCGAGATCCCGATCGATCTCACAACAGATGTCATGATCCATCACAATCGATCTGAGTAACGATTTATCAATCGAACTGACGATCGATCTCACAAGCGATCTCACGATCGATCTCACAGCAGATCTCACTATCGATCCCCCAATCGATCTCACAATCGATCTGAAAATTGAAGTCACCATCGGTCTCACATTCGGAATCACGATCGATCTCACAACAGCTCCCACTATCGGTCTGACAATCGATATCAATCGGAGGTTGGTGGATGAGATCTTAATGGAACGGAGACCCCCAGCCGGGAAATCATTTCGTTTCGTTCGTGTCGTGCGTGCGGGCGAAGCGAAGCTACGTGGGCGCACGAGAGGAATGAACCCGCCGTTGCTAGGGCGAAGTCAAAACAAATGATTCTCCCCCTCCCGCCCGTCCGGCGGTAGCCCCGTGGTGTCCCGTGGTGTCCAGTGGTGTCCCGTTGAGTGAGATCGATACTGAGATCGATAGTGAGATCGCTACTGAGATCGATGTGGTGCCCCGAGGTGTCCCGTGGTGTCCTATGGTGTCCCGCTGAGTGAGATCGATAGTGAGATCGATAGTGAGACCGATAATGAGATCGAGAGGTGTCCCGCGGCGTCCCGTGGTGTCCCGTTGAGTGAGGTCGATATTGAGATCGATAGTGAGATCGACAAATGTCCCTTGGTGTCTCGTGGTGTCCCACTGAGTGAAATCGAAAGTGAGATCGATTGAGTCAGATGTTGGTTCCCCCCCTCTCCCCCCCCACAAACTCCTTATCATCCGAAGGGTGGTCGTATAGGTATCGATATCACCATTGGCCTCACATCAGATCTCGCAGTCGATCTCACAATCGATCTCAGTATCGCTTTGACAATCGAACTCACGATCGCTCTCACAAGCGATCTTGCGATCGATCCCACACCAGATCTCACTATCGATCTCCAAATCGATCTCACCATCGGTCTGACGGTCGAACGCACTCCCGATCTCACATTCGGATTCACTATAGATATCACAACAGTTCTCACTATCGGTTCCAGTATCGGTCTTCGAACCGCTCTCACAATCGATCTCTCAGTATCGTTCCCACGATATATCCAACTCGAGCGATCTCACGATCGATCTCACAACAAATCTCGACAACTATATCACAACAGATCTCACTATCAACGTCACAACAAATCTCACAACCGATCTCACAATCGATCTCAACATCGACCTAACTGTTGGTCTCACAACCAGCATCGTACTCGACCTAACAATCGATCTCAGTATTAACATCTGCTCATCCCTATATAGATCACACGAGCAATCTTACCATCGATCCCACACGAGCGCTCTCACGATCGATATCACAGCAGATCTCACTATCGATCTCACGGTCGGGGGCACTATCGATCTCACAGCAGATCTTACAGCAAATTCCACTATCGATCTCACAACCGATCTCACCACCGGCTTGACAATCGAACTCGCTATCGATCTCACAAGCGATGCCGCGATCGATCTCCGAATCGATCTCATCAACGACCTGACAATCGAACTCACGATCCATCTCACGATCGACCTCATAACAGTTCTCATCATCGGTCCCACTATCGATCTCACAGTCGATTTCACAATCGATCCCACTATAGGTCTCACAATTGATTTCAAAATTGATCTCACGATCGATCTCAGTATCGATCTCACTATCGATCCACTGATAGATCTCACGAGCGATCTCACTATCGATCTCACAACAGATCTCATGATCGATCCCACAACCAATCTCACGATCGATCTCACAACAGGTCTCACTATCGATCTCACAACAGGTATCACAATCAATCTCACTATCGATCTCAATCGATCTCACCGCCGCGCCACCAATGGGACACCCCGCGCCACCGACGGGACACCGCCGCGCCGCCGACGGGACACCGACGGGACACCCCCAGGCCACCGACGGGACACCCCGGACCACCGAGCGCCGGGGCGGGGGAGTGGCGGACAACCGGCTCCACAGCCCCTAGCCACGGCGGCATCATTCCTCGCGCGCGCCCATGCAGCTTCGCCTCGCCCACACGCACGACACGAACACGAAACCGAAACCGATTTCCCGGAGGGGGCTCTCCGTTCCACTGCGATCTCACCCCCTCACGTCCGATAGTCGTTGTGACAACTGATGTTTTTACGAGTCTGCGCCCGAACGGCCTGTGCCCAGGCGTTGATGTTTACGTCACGTCTTGGGCGCCTTATCTATGCCAGGTGTTGGTTGTGACGTCTGGCTCAATTCTGCTCTAGTGTCTGAGTTGGCGCCGCAATCATACCAAATCCAAAACGAGATCATCTGTTTACTCTCCTCCTCGATCCATTTCTCCTCCCCCTCCTCCTCTCGCTCCTCCTCCTTTTCCTCCACCTCCTCCCCCAACCCTCCTCTTGGCATGGTGGCGGGAATGGCCGCGAGCAATTGGATAGCCGGAGCCGAAGTGATGGCAATTTTCTGTTGGAACTGTTGATCACAGCTCTAGCTATTGTCCACCACTGACGTTGCAAACTACGGATAATTTTCGCCAATGCTTTTCGATAACAGTTCGGACTGCTTTCCGCAAGTGCTTGTGAGAACATCTCCAGCCAGTGTCCGCCAGAGTCTTGAAACAGCTGCGGCTATCATCCACCAATGTATGTGATAATAACTCTGGTAAATACCCCGCAATTGGACGCAGTCCTTGGAACCCTCTTGACATCTCTTGGGGCTCTCTCGGGGTCCTCGGAAAGCCCCCGAGACGACCTTGGAGGGCCCCATCTCTGCTCTGTGTCATCCCCCTCCTTCTTCTCTCTCCTGAATCGTTCGGCCTAACTGGGCTCCAAGACAAGATGCGTCTTTCGAACAATAAATTCCTCGCGCTCCTCCTAGTAGATCGTGCCGTGATCCGAATGAAACAACATCATCAGTAGGGGTTCGTGTGTGCCCATGAGTGGCGAACTTGCACCATGCCAACAGCAACACAACACCACGGTGCCTACTCAAATTACGTTGCCGACCGCGCAACAACCGCGAAGCAACCAACCTACCATAACAAACTCAAGCCACACCAACCAACCACGCACAAACTCGAACCAACCAACCAACCAACCACGCAACGTACATGACTCTACCAACAAGCGGCAACACAACCACTTGGAGCCAACCAACCATTCAACGTACTCCAACGAATCACCACTCAACAAGCTGACACCAAATAACGACACCACACCGCGCAACAAACTCGAACACATCAACCAACCACGCAACAAACAACAATGAACCTGCATCCCGCTGAGGACCCGAAGTGGCTCCCCAAATAGGCCCCGAAGCTGCATCCAATATTAAACCCGCCCCGAAATTGGATAGACCTGCCCCCCCCTCACTGGCCGGACAAAACCAAAGGCTCAGGAGCTGATACTTCTCTGGCCACCTAAACAACACCATTGACACCAGAGCCAGTGCGGCTTTCATGTAGTATTCATTCTCATCGTAAAACGATTGGCGCGAGAATTGGTCGACGGATTGGCGTGAGGCCCTGTGACGACGCAGGGACTGATTAAACCATAGCCACTGAACACGCTCACAGGAGCGAGGAACTAGGATGTGTGAGTGCATCGAGAAGGAGCCCGCTAAGAGGGCAGGTTGGTGGCCTCTTCGGAACCTATTCGTCCCCTCTTGGACCTCGGGCCTCTCTTGGGGCGCGGCTGGGATCCTCATCAGCCGTCGAACTGGAGCATCTGAAGCGGCCGTTTCAGATGCTCCACTCTGGTTGGATCTTGGGGCGTCTTGGTGGGACCCCCACCAGAGCTCGTCTTGGGGCCTCTGGGGTCTTCTTGGAGCGCTAAGTATGGCCCTCTTAGGGGTTCTATGTGAGCCTTCTTGGGTCCCCCGAAATGGAACAGTTCAAACAGCACGGCCGTTCAGATGCTCTCCTTAAAGAGCCCATCGGTGGTCTATTGGGGCCCCCTTCGGGCCGCCCTCTTGGACCTCTCGTGGGGCTCTCCTGGAGCCCTCTTGGAGACCTCCTGCGCCCTCGGGGTGGAGCATCTGAAACGGCCGTTTCAGATGCTCTACTCTGGTTGCAAGGAGGGGCCGGAACCAGGAACGTCAGCAGAGGAGGAGGAGTGCGAGAAGGAGACAGATATGTCAGCAGAGGAAGCAGAGAGTGAGGAGAAGATCTTAAGCGCAGGTGCGGCATGGCCCACCATCGTCACTTTCAGCATTTACATGTCGCCCTTCGCTGGCTTGCTGGTGGAGGGAGATATGAGATCGTCTTGGTCTTCTGTGTGTTTTCTTTTTTTCTTTGTATTCACTCTGGTTGGCTCTTGGGGCATCTTGGGCCCTCCCCAGAGCTCGCCTTGGGGCCCCCAAGGCCCTACCAGGGCGCTCGTGGGGCCATTTCGGGGTCCTCGTGGGGTTCTCTTGGAAGCTTCTTACGCCTTCCGAAGTGGAGCATTCGAAACGGTCGTTTCAAGTGCTCCACTCGGGGGGCCTGCGGGTATGATCTCACGCGGAAGCCCCTTGGAACATCGCATGTTTGCCTCTCATCCTTCCCATTTGGCTATCATCCTCCTCCCCTGTGTCTCCTCCTTCTACCTCCTCCCCCATCCACCCAATCCTCTTCCTCTCCCCGTTTCCTCCTCTTCTCTTTCCTCCTCGCTCTCCCCCGTTGGTGTATCGTCTCCGCTCTTCCTCCCTCCGCGTCATCGCCGTCGTGTTTCCCTCTGCTTCCTCATCCAGTTCATTCCCTCCTCGGCGTCTGCCCCATGCCCCTGCCCTCCCCGCTCCCTCTCTTCTTTTGGAACACGCGGAGGGGCGCAGGATATGTACAGAACTGCCCGATCAACCACACAGCTGCGAAGTAACCGACGCAATAGCGCGAACAAGCGCTCGCTGTCGACCTTCGATGTAATACGACGGCAAGACCAGCCGCCCCGCAGCACCGCGTATGGTTCTCGAAAGGCCCCTGGGCCATTGTTCCTTTGATCCTTGCGAAACTGCGTTGGACCCTGCCTCCGACGTACTGAACCGAACACATCCACTTGTCTCCCCGTGGCATCAATTTTGGAACTCCTCGGCTCTCTGAACAGCAAGGCCCAAGACGCAACTCCCGCTGAAATTCCAGGCCCCGCATGCCTCCTCCACGAGGCTTCCAGACTGGAAGGATACGCAAAGGCATGTATGGCTGGCTCCGGGGCCCGCTCGAGGTGGCCTCCTCCTTATCCCACGGCGTGCTCCTACACTCCCCTGGTACAAAAAAACAACTTGCCTCGGGATCATGTTTGACTGGACTGGTGTATGGGGGGCGAACAATGACATAAACATAGAAACTCGGAGGTCCTCGCGGATTTCTTGGATCCACGCTGGACCCCCCCTGGCGGCGCTTCCTGCTTCGCCCCTGGCGCGCTCAGCGCGCCACGGCAGGGGGACCAGCGCGGATCCAAGAAACCCGCGCGGACCTCAGAGTTTGTAGGTTTATGTAATGTTTCGTTCCCCGTGGTGGGGATACGCGCAGCGTCGACAGTTCCTTGTCTCGTTCTTGGTCGCACACAGACGCGAAAACTTCGTGCATGTCTCAAACCCAGCATCTGAAGCATCATCCTGAGCAACGCTTCGGGAAACCAGCCGCGCGGACGAAGCCCTGAACAAATTCTCCGAACCGACCATGTGACCGACCTCAAAATCAGCGTCCCGACGCTTCGGCTCCAATGGGCACTGGCCCATGCGCTCGACAGTCCGCTCGATGTCCTTGCCAATGCGCGCGGGGACGGATTTCGATACTCTGTGCTCCCCTTGCCTTTTTTCCGATGACTTGTCCCACCGTATTCCCGCCTTCCCCTGTCAAGGACACACCCACGTTTCATGCACCACCAAATGGAACGTGGTCTCGACCTGGCATTGGCAATCTCCGTCGCTTGCCACTCTTGGCTCCAATTTGTTGGCAACAATGCCAGCCCAGGCATCACACGATATGTGTACCCCCCCTCTTTTGTGCCCTTTGCGCAGACAAGCTATGCGCATGGCGTCCTCTATACCCACATGACTTCCTGTGCTGTGCGCATCGTTTCCTCTATATGCGCACGGCTTCCTCTACCGCGTGGCTCCCTGTTTCTGCATGGCTTCCTCTGTATCACCAAGGTTTCCTCTGCTATCCGCATGGTCTCCTCTGTGTATCCACGCAGCTTCTCCTGCTATTGCAATGGCTTCCTATGGCAGCTCAACTGGCGTCCCCAAGATTTCCCGAAAATTGTCAAAAACAAAAGTAAAGTAGAGTAGAATAGAGTATACAAGACGAAAATAGAGAACACACGAATACACCATATTGTATCAGAGTAGAGGAGAGCAGAGTCAAAACGAGTATGCGTATATTAGAATCGAGTGGGAGTGGAGTAGAGTAGAGCCGAGTATAATAGCTTCGGGTGGGGTGGGGTAGGGTGGGTTAGGAGTCAAGTTGACCTACTCGAACGAGCCAGCAGGCTCCGTCCATTCCCACCCGCCCTCCCACAACAGAAGAAGCAAGTGCGTCGCGCCCGACGCATGTCGCTCATCTTATATCGTGGGCGGCTAGACGTACAGCGCGCGACATGAGCTGCGTCCTAGTCCTGCCGCGTATTGAGCAACGTCGACGAGAAACAAAACCGCGCGCGATGTACGCCGCGCCCCGCTCCGGCCTCTCATGTTGTATCATCGGCGACAACATGTCCAGCGCGCGAAGTGCGCCGCGTCTCATTCCAGCCACGCGCGCCGGCGGCGAACCGCACTTGCTTGAGGCATTCTGACTTGCCGCCTGCCCAGCTCCTCAACCCGACGGGCTGCAGCGTCGACGACAAGAAAATCCATGTTGACGAGCAGGCGCCCCCGCGCGATGTGCGCCGCGTCCCATTCCCGCTACGCGATTCGCAGCGCCGACGAGGAGAAAGTACCTGTTGGCAAGAAAAATGTCAACGTTGCGATGTTTGTTGGAAAGTAGGACGGGGGGTCCCGCGTAGGGTTGGCCAGGCGTCCGCGCGCGATGTGCGCCGCGTCACATTCCTGCTGCACTTTTCGCAGCGTCGACGACAAGAAAATCCATGTTGAGGATGTCTCGGGCGAGACGCTTGGTTTCACGCGTCCTCGTCGCCCAGGCGGATGTCTAGCATGAGGATGTGTTGAGGAAATCTCGATCGAGATGCTTGTTTGCACGTGTCCAGGTCGCCCACGCGGATGCCTAGCATGAGGATGCGTGGAGAATGTCTCGAGAGATACGCTTGTTTTCACATGTCCAGGTCGACCAGGTGGATGCCCAGCATGAAGATGTGTTGAGGATGTCTCGAGCGAGACGTTTGCTTTCACGTGTACAGGTCGCCCATGCGGATGTCGAGAATGACGGAGTGTTGAAGACGTCTCGAGCGAAACGCTTGTTTTCACGTGCCCAGGTCACCCGAACGGAGGTCTCACATGAACATGTTCTGAAGATGTCTCGAGCGAACCACTTGCTTTCACGAGTCCAATTCGCCCAGGCGGATTTCTAGCATGAGCATGTGTTGAGGGTGTGTTGAGCGAAACGCTGGTTTTCACTTGTCCAGGTCACTCAGGCGGATGTCTAGCATGAGGATTTTGACAAGATGTCTCGAGCGAAACGCTTGTCCCCAGCACGTTCCGTAGCGCGCCCCCTTGGCACGTCCCGCGGTGCGACCCCATGGCACGTCCCCTGGCGCGTCGCTTGGCACGTCCCTTGAGACGTTCCGCGGCGCGTCCTCCTGGCATGTCCCCCTGTCAATTAGCTCTGGGCAGCTACTATGTGTTCAGGCAGCTCGAGCTTAAGATCCAGATCAGTTCGGTCAGGACTCGGATGCAAAGGAGGACTCGATCCACAACGCTATAGAGCACAATCGCGGCATGGCACATCGCAATTCAGCACGGCGCAGCACAGCACAGCCCTCGGCACGGTACATCAAAATCAACACACTCAGCATTGCAACCTGGCACGTTCCTTGGCACGTTCTGTGGGGCGTCCCTTGGCGAGTCCCCCTGGCACGTCGCGTGGCGCGTCCCCTGGCGCATTCTGTGGCTCATCCATTGGCACGTTCCGTAGCGCGTCCCCTTGGCACGTCCCGCGGTGCGACCCCATGGCACGTCCCCCGGCACGTCGCCTGGCGCGTCCCTTGGGACGTTTCGCGGCGCGTCCTCCTGGCATGTCCCCCTGTCAATCAGCTCCGGGACGGCTACTATTTGTTCGGGCAGCTCGAGCTTAAGATCCAGATCACTTCGGTCAGGACTCGGATGCAAAGGAGGACTCGATCCACGACACTATAGAGCACAATCGCGGCATGGCACATCGCAACTCAGCACGGCGCAGCACACCACAACCCTCGGCACGGTACATCAAGATCGACATTGCCCGTCACACAAGCAGGTGTCTTTGAAAACGCTGTCATGCGTTGCATTTCTATATGTTCCTTTCCAGGTTCGTGGGTCGATAATGTTCAGAATCTGGTGAGGATGTCTCGAGCGAAACGCTTCTTTTTCGTTATATACTGTCCTCTCCTGGGGACCAGAATTCAACGGATCTCTCAAATGAAATGCTTGCCTGCACGTGCCCAGGTCTTGAGGATGTCTCCAGCGAGACGCTTGGCTTCACGCCTCCAGGTTGCCCAGGCAAATGTCTAGCATGAGGATTTGTTGCGGATGTCTCGAACCAAAGGCTTGTTTTCACGTGTCCACGTCGCCCAGGTGGATGTCTAGCATGAGGATGTGTCGAGGAAGGCTCGATCGAGACGCTTCTTTGCACGTGTCCAGGTTGTCCAGGCGGATGTTTAGCATGAGGATGTGCTGAGAACGTTTTGAGCGAAACGCGTGTTTTCACGTGTCCAGGTCGCCCAAGCACAGCACAACCCTCGGCACGGTACATCAATATCGATACCCTTAGCATTGCAACCTGGCATGTTGCCTGGCACGTTCCGCGGAGCGTCCATGGCGAGTTCCGCTGGCACGTCCCGCGGTGCACGTCCATTGGCACGTTCCGTAGCGCGTCCCCTTGGCACGTCCCGCGGTGCGTCCCCATGGCACGTCCCCTGGCACGTCGCCTGGCGCGTCCCTTGGGACGCTCCGCGGCGCGTCCTCCTGGCATGTCCCCCTATCAATCAGCTCTGGGGCAGCTACCATCTGCTCAGGCACCTCGAGCTTAAGCTCCGGCAGTTCGGTCAGGACTCGGATGCAAAGGAACGACTCGCTCACAAACGCTATATAGATGTATTAGATATATGATATTATATGTGTTATATATATGTGTTATATTATATATGTATAGCACAATCGCGGAAGGGGCACATTGCGCAGTTCAGCACGCTCGATGACAGCAAGGCCGTCGGCACGGTACCTCATCGATACACTCAAATTGCACCTAACCTGGCGCGTTCCTTGACGCGTTCCGTGGCGAGTCCCCCTGGCACGTCGCGCGGCGCGTCCCCTGGCACGTCCCGCGGCACGTCCATTGGCACGTTTCGTAGCGAATCCCCTTGGCACGTCCCGCGGTGCGTCCCCATGGCACGTCCCCTGGCACGCCGCCTGGCGCGTCCCACTGGGGCGTTCCGCGGCGCGTCCTCCTGGCATGTCCGCTCTGTCGATTAGTTCTGGGGCAGCTACCATCTGCTCAGGCAGCTCGAGCTTAAGATCCAGATCACTTCGGTCAGGACTCGGATGCCAGGGAGGACTCGATCCACAACGCTATATAGAGGCATGGCACATCGCAGTTCAGCACGGCGCAGCACAGCACAGCCCTCAGCACGGTACATCAAGATCGATACACTCAGCATTGCAACCTTGCACGTTCCTTGGCACGTGCCGTGGCGGGTCCCGTGGCACGTCCATTGGCACGTTCCGTAGCGCGTCCCCTCGGCACGTCCCGCGGTGTGTCCCCGTGGCACGTCCCCTGGCACGTCGCCTGGCGCGTCCCTTGGGACGTCCCGCGGCGTGTCCCCGAGGCACGTCCCCCGGCACGTCGCCTGGCGCGTCCCTTGGGACGTTCCGCGGCGCGTCCTCCTGGCATGTCTCCCTGTCAATCAGCTCTCGGATAGCTACCATCTGCTCAGGCAGCTCGAGCTTAAGATCCAGACCAGTTCGGTCAGGACTCGGATGCAAAGGACGACTCGATCCACAACGCTATAGAGCACAATCGCGGAATGGCACACCACCATTCAACACGGCGCTGCACAGCACAGCCCTCGGCACGGTACATCAAAATCGATACACTCAGCATTGCGTTTGCCCGTCGCCCAATCAAGTGTCTTTGAAACGTTGCCATGCCTCACATTTCTATATTCCTTTCCGGGCTCGTGGGTCGATCATGTTCAGGCAAAACCTGCCCGGCGCCGAGGCGAAAGCGACGTGCCGTCCGCTCGCGCGTCGGCGCAAATGCGTGCGAGAAGTACGCGCCGCGTCCCAGTGGGCGCTCAACTCTCTGGAACATGAGCGCGGCGCCACGGCGAGAGCGATGTGTCGGCCTGTCGCGCGGGGTGTGCGCCCCACCCCTGTCCTGCCGCGCATGTTGCAACATGGGTCAACGTGGTGTCCTTGTTGGGCAGAAGATTCTGATTTGGTTTTTGTGTTGGCAGGTAGGATGGAACCACCCAGATTGGGCGGCTACCGGCTGATTAACTGGCAGAGTGGGAGCATGTACTAAGAAGGCATGGGGATGCGGCAATAGAGTAGTCGGCGAGAGTAGAGTAGGAATAGCGTAGGTTAGGCTAAGGGTAGGCAGATGGCAGAGTAGAGTCGGGTACAAAAGAACATAACGGAGCACGTAGACCAGAGTAGAGTAGACTCCACCGAGTCAAGTCCAATCGATTACATGATGATGATGATGTTAAAGATGGTGAAGGTGATGGTGGTGATGATGATCATCATCAGCAACATCATCAACATCATAATCATCATCAACATGATCATCAGTAGCAGCACCAACATCAGCATCAGCACCAGCTTCAACATCATCATTACCATCTACATCAACATCATCATCAACACCAGCATCATCAGCATCAGCATCATCATCAGCATGAGCATCAGCATGAGCATCAGCATCATCACCAGCATCATCATCAGCACCAACATCAGCATCAGCATCAACATCACCATCACCATCACCATCATCATCAGCATCAACAACAATACCAACATCAGCATCAACATCAGCATCAACATCATCATCACCATCAATATCATCATCAGCAGCAACCGCACTTGCATCAGCATCAGCATCAACATCAACATCATCATCACCATCAACATCATCATCATCATCATAACCACCACCATCATCATCATCATCATCATCATCATCATCATCATCATCATCATCATCATCATCATCATCATCATCATCGTCGTCATCATCATCGTCAACTCCATTCTGGTCTTGGGATCTATTTTGAGTCTGCTCTGGCTGATATTTGTCTCAGCCCGCGACCCTAGTGTTCCCGACCCGGTCCCCACTGGTTAATCCCGTGTGCGCCCCACGCTAATCTTTGATAACCCTTGATGCCTCTCCTGCAATCCCAGACATGCTCGCGTCGTTAAAAAATCAGGAAGGCAAATTTCTAACTATGTTCGGCCCCTGGGGGGCCATCGCTGGCCCCCAGGAGCGTCAAAAACGACTCAGGATGAAAACCGGCCCCAGGGAAAGGGTCGGGACTTCCGGGGACGCCGTACTGTAAACATCAGGACGTCGCATGTCTGGGATCTCCTGTCATCACTAGTGTCGGCCACCCTTCATCAGAGGAGCACACGCGTGCTCCTCTCGCCAGGGGGGCCCAGGACGACTTCAAGCTGCACAGCCAACATCTGCTGGCCTCTTGCCACACACACACACCCTACTCCCACTCGTTTCAATTACCCTCTCCCTTCCCCCACCCGCCCCCGCTGCGCTCACCGTCTGGCGTAGTCCTAAAACCAGAGGGCCCAGGCCAAATTCAAAACTGCGCAGTCAACCTCTGCTTGTCTCTTGCCCCCCTCCCCCCACACCTCCCCCCAAGCCCCCCTCGATTTGATTGCTTTCCCTCCTCCTCCCCCCTTCTACCGCGCGCACCGTCTGCCCCCGTCTCTGGAGAGGAAGAGGCAAGGGGAGAGGGAGGAGAGGGAGGAGAGGGAGGAGGAGGGATTGAGGAGGGGATCGGAGTGGGGGAGAGAAGGGATCGGGGAGGAGGGGGAGAAGGAAGATGGACCAGGAGGAGGAGAAGGAGGAGGAGGAGGAAGAGGAGGAGAGAGACAGGACTCTGGGAAAAGGAAGAAGGAGGCAGATGAGGAGAGAGAGAGAGTGATGGGGGGAGGGGGAGGAGGATACATCTTGACTCGCTCGGCGAGTCGATGTGTGAATAGCGTGCTTCGCGAGGCGGTTCGATCGCCGTGCTCCATGTTTGGAGATCGCGGTGCGTCCCCGACGATGTAGAGCGCCAGAATATGAAGAAACATAGATGCAGCGGCGCCGCCACCAGTTACCACTGATCAGAAGAGAAAGAAAAGGTGGAGATGAGGAGCACAGGGAAATAGGCAGAAAAGGAGGAGGAAGAGGAGGAGTGACGCTTCGAACCTTCGCTCCCGCGGCTGGCCTAAGACAGGAGGAGCGCCACCGTGTGAGAAGAGGGGAGAGCGGCGCAATCCTCCGACCCCAACTACTCCAGCCCCACCTAGGAGGCCTAGACTCTCCAGGCCC